TCCACCAACTACAAGGAACGTCTCACCTCTGTGCTCGCCATCAATGGTTCCTCCACCAAGTACAAGGAACGTCTCACCTCTGTGCTCGCCAACAAGGGTTCCTCCACCAACTACAAGAAATGTCTCACCTCTGTGCTCGCCAACAAGGGTTCCTCCACTAACTACAAGAAACGTCTCACCTCTGTGCTCGCCAACAAGGGTTTCTCCCACCAACTACAAGGAACGTCTCACCTCTGTGCTCGCCAACAAGGGTTCCTCCACCAACTACAAGGAACATCTTAGCTCTTTGCTCCCCAACAAGGGTTCCTCCACCAACTACAAGAGACGTCTCACCTCTGTGCTCGCCAGCAAGGGTTCCTCCAACAACTACAAGGAACGTCTCAACTCTGTGCTCGCCAACAAGGGTTCCTCCACCAACTACAAGGAACGTCTCACCACTGTGCTCACCAAGGGTTCCTCCACCAACTACAAGGAACGTCTCACCTCTTTGCTGGCCAACAAGGGTTCCTCCACCAACTACAAGGAACATCTCACCTCTGTGCTCGCCAACAAGGGTTCTTCCACCAACTACAAGGAACGTCTCACCTCTGTGCTCGCCATCAATGGTTCCTCCACCAAGTACAAGGAACGTCTCACCTCTATGCTGGCAAGCAAGGGTTCCTCCACCAACTACAAGAAATGTCTCACCTCTGTGCTCACCAACAAGGGTTCCTCCACCAACTACAAGGAACATCTCACCTCTTTGCTGGCCAACAAGGGTTCCTCCACCAACTACAAGGAACATCTCACCTCTGTGCTCGCCAACAAGGGTTCTTCCACCAACTACAAGGAACGTCTCACCTCTGTGCTCGCCATCAATGGTTCCTCCACCAAGTACAAGGAACGTCTCACCTCTGTGCTGGCAAGCAAGGGTTCCTCCACCAACTACTAAAGAAATGTCTCACCTCTGTGCTCGCCAACAAGGGTTCCTCCACTAACTACAAGAAACGTCTCACCTCTGTGCCCGCCAACAAGGGTTCCTCCACCAACTACAAGGAACGTCTCACCTCTGTGCTGGCCAACAATTGTTCCTCCATTAACTACAAGACATGTCTTACCTCTGTGTTCGCCAACAAGGGTTCCTCCACCAACTACAAGGAACGTCTCATCTCTGTGCTCGCCAACAAGGGTTCCTCCACCAACTACAAGGAACATCTTAGCTCTTTGCTCCCCAACAAGGGTTCCTCCACCAACTACAAGAGACGTCTCACCTCTGTGCTCGCCAGCAAGGGTTCCTCCAACAACTACAAGGAACGTCTCACCTCTGTGCTCGCCAACAAGGGTTCCTCCACCAACTACAAGGAACGTCTCACCTCTGTGCTCGCCAACAAGGGTTCCTCCACCAACTACAAGAAACGTCTCACCTCTGTGCTCGCCAACAAGGGTTCCTCCACCAAGTACAAGGAACGTCTCACCTCTGTGCTCGCCACCAAGGGTTCCTCCATCAAGTACAAGGAACGTCTCACCTCTGTGCTCGCCAACAAGAGTTCCTCCACCAAGTACAAGAGTTGTCTCACCTCTGTGCTCGCCAAACAAGGGTTCCTCCACCAACTACAAGAGACGTCTCATCTCTGTGCTCGCCAACAAGGGTTCCTCCACCAACTACAAGGAACGTCTCACCTCTGTGCTGGCCAACAAGGGTTCCTCCACAACTACAAGGAACATCTTAGCTCTTTGCTCGCCAGCAAGGGTTCCTCCAACAACTATAAGGAACGTCTCAACTCTGTGCTCGCCAACAAGGGTTCCTCCACCAACTACAAGGAATGTCTCACCACTGTGCTCACCAAGGGTTCCTCCACCAACTACAAGGAACGTCTCACCTCTGTGCCCACCAACAAGGGTTCCTCCACCAAGTACCAAGTCAGGTTTTGCTTGAGGATCGAATAATTATTTTACTCCCTGAACTGCAACTCCATTTATAACATTTGTATCGTGTTGTTTCTGGATTTTTGGTTGATATTCTGTATCTATTATTTATATACACCTGTGATAACATATTCCTAGATTGTAAGCTCCAAGGAGCAGGGCCCTCCTTTCCCTCTTGTATTGAACTGTATTGTTGATGTATTGTCTCCCATTATATTGTAAAGCACTGAGTGAACTGTTGGCGCTATATAAATCCTGTATTATAATAATAATAATATTGCAGACCCTTAATTTCTCAGTGGGAAAACCTACAAAATCTGCTGGGGATCAAATCCTCATTTCCCCCTCTGTATGAAGACGTCGGTTGTGCTGCATGTTACTGTGACATAAATGTACAGATTTGAGTAGCTGAAATGTGACCTGTAGCAATATGTAATCCTAAATGTAGTTTCATTCCTTGTCATTAAAGAAATATTCAGTCATAGGTACTCAGAGACAGATGGTCACCAATTAGCATCTGAAAAGAGACAGAGCTTTCTCTGGAAGTGGCACCTCGGGGCTAATAAGTTGTTGTCACCTATATGTAATCAGACTCTGCCATCTTCCTGAAGTTTAAAAGAGGAAAGCAGACAATTTGGCTTCATGACACCAGGGGGGCCCCGATCTGTCTGGGGAGCTCTAAAGTATATACATAGATCAAAGGAGTATGTTTCATCGCTCATAAAAGCTAAAATATTAGTTGCAGAGAGATGAAAATACTTCCTTCTGATTGGACACTCTGTGGGCTACATCGGCATATAAAAACTATATAAATGCAGGAAATGGTTATGTGGCGCTGGAGTGCGATAGTGGAACAGTGATTGGTACTGTCGTGATCGGACTGATGCGCTGGTGTGGGAAATTCAATCCCTGACTTGGTGATTCAAGCCGTTCCTGGTCCAATTGACTTTGGGCAGTTCAGCACCCAGAACATTATGTGGGCAGGTACAGGAACACCCCCCAGAGTCAATCGGCCAAGAACTAATGTCCCGCCTACGTCCATATCCCCATAAATTGAGGACCCTGACACTGGGACATTGTGATTCGTATGGAGCCAGTTCGATCAACTAACGGTCTACGGACTTTTTCTGACTTGCTCCAGTCGCAGAGTAAATCTTGGTAAAAGTTTTATTTCTGTTTTATTTCCTTTTATTTTATAGTGAATAGTCATTTGTGTGTCTTCTTGTATTTCTGTAACTTTTTATATTTTGTACATATTTTATGCTCCGCCCACTTTTGGGATATTAAATCTTAAAATTAATTATTGACTTCTGTGTATTTAAGCACATGCTCATATCTCCGGATAGATTAGATTTGGAGAGATTAGATTGTATCGCACGGTCAAGTTCATTGCCAATCTGTATGCAATTGCACTGTGTGTGGGCAGATTGCGTGCAGATTGTAAAGGTAACAGATTGGCCAGACAGAGATCTGTGTGTGTGTAGGGTGTCCCAGTAGACCGTTCTGCAGATAAACTGTTGGGTGGTGGCAGGCTACCTTTTCTGGTGTGGGGGGTGTGGACAGTGGAAGGGTGATTAACGCCAGGGTCCAAGCTGTAGATAGCTGGAGGGACCTTAGAAGGGTGGGTGATTACTAAGCTGCTCCTCAACTCTAATCAGTGCACCAGATTGTATGTAAGATTTGTATCTGCCAGTGTGTGGGGTCGACCAGCTGGATTGGAGTCTCCCTCCGGTGGTGGCCAAGAGGAAGTGCGGACTGTGGAAGTATATCACAGCTGATCTTATATACGGTTTTATATATTGAAAGTTATGTCCCCTTTATTCCCTCTTACCCCAAGTCACGGCTGCATGTGTGCACCTCGGTTAGCTAGTCGTTGTGGGCGTGGCGTGTGGGGTGGACCGTGAAAGTTACATATTCCCAGGCTGGAATGAGAGCGATAACTCTACACCCAATATTCACAATCAACAATAAACTGACGACCTGTAAAGACTTGTAAAACGCCACCTAGGAGCAATGTGTAGGTACTGCAGTTTGCTATCATCACACTGACACTCACCATTTATTGTTCATTCAATAAAGTTTTTATTAGAATTTTACTTTGGACAAGATTGCAGTCATAGAAGCAGGAGATAGTAAAGGCAGAAATACGATTGATCGGGAAGAACCCCAGTCTGGAATGTGGAGGCGGAGTCATTATTAATTGGCGTACAATACACAACGTGTTCCATTGTTATAACAAAGTTTTGTAGGAAAGATCCTGACAGACAATGGGGGGAGGGGGAAATTAGCGGATATAGAGGGGGATTTGCATATGAGGAACTCTTTCACAGTCACCATTTTATTCTCCAGGGCTTTGGCTTCCAGAAAATATGTTTGGGGGGTTAGATAATATTCATGCCAATGACAGGGCAGGACTCCATTTTTATTCTTCTCCTGCTATCAATGGCCAACCCGGTCCCAAACTTCATCCACGTCTTTGGTGACCTCTGACCTCCTTATAAACTGTTTCTTCCATGATGAAGATCAGCCATGGAGTATATCTGAGGTGTATATTATTATTATTATAATTATTATACAGTATTTATAAAGCGCCAATAGTTCACTCAGCGCTGTACATTACAAAGGGGGACAGAACATGTGACAGAACAATACCAATACAATGCAAAACATGAGGGGATCGAGGGCCCTGCTCTTTCGAGCTTACAATCTATCAGGGGGTGCTTCTTCCCCCCACATGAGAGCTGGGATGTCCAGCAACATTCATCTAGAAGACATTTCCCGCACTCAAGGCACTAATACACCCCCCAGGGTTGTGTGGGACCCCTGATGTACAGGAAGACAGGGCTTCAGTGAGGAACATTTCCCTCAGTCAGGACAAAAAAATGGCTTCTCTTCCGTGTGGGATCTCTGATATTTGGAAATACTCAACTGTGAAAAACATTTCCCGCACTCAGGACTTCAGTGAGGAACAATTCCCTCAGTCAGACCAGGAAAGTTCATTCGCCTCCGTGTCCAATCTCAGATGACTGTAAGCAGAGGACTTCTGAGGACATGGATCCCTCGTGTGAGATCTCTTATGTGTGGAAAGATACCACTTCTTCGAAAAGCATTCCCCACACTCAAGACAGGGAAACGACTTCTCCCCCATGTGAGATTTTTGATGTTTGGCAAGCTCTGATTTTTGTATAAAACCTTCTCCGCACTCAGGGCAGGAATACGGCTTCTCCCCCGTGTGAGATCTCTGATGTACAACAAGTTCTGATCTTTGTACAAAACATTTTCCGCACTCAAGACAGGAAAAAGGCTTCTCCCCCGTGTGCAACCTCTGATGTATGGAAAGATAATACTTTCTTGAAAAACATTTCCCGCACATAGGGCAGGAATACTGATTCTTACCTGTGTGCAATCTTTGATGATTATAAAGACAGTACTTATTTAAAAAACATTTCCCGCACTCAGGACAGGAAAATGGCTTCTCACCTGTGTGAGTCCTTTTATGAATGTTAAGACGGGATTTATAACGGAAATGTTTCCCGCACTCAGTACAGGAGAACCTCTTCTCTGTTGGAAGGACAGCCCGGTCCCGCACAGTCTGAGGTTCCTCAGGATACGAGGAATCCGATGGTACATTCACAATATAGGGCACCACAAAGATATACAAGGTGGTGGGGTCTTCTGGATTCTGTGTGATGTCCTCATCTTCTACTTTCCAGTCTGGAGACAAAGTGAGACAATCCTCAGAAGTTTTTCTCATATCCCGGCCATGGACTAAAATATAAAGACAAAGAGGATTTCTAGACAGGAGCTGATTGGTTCCCCCAAACCAGGACTCCGCCCACATTAGGCAGCTTGGTCTCTGAGGAGCTTACAATTCCACCCTCAAGGGAACTAGGAAATGGCTCCTCTGATCTCCTACCTGGTCATTTCTTTATTCATGGACCTTAGTCAGAGAGTGAGGAAACAACCAGAACTGTCTTTTATAAGAGGGACAGTGATGAGGGAATTATAGGACGAGGATCCCCACCCCCTCTATCACTCATCGCCATCTTCCCAACACAAGAAGTACTGCACTTCCTGATTTAGTCCATGATTTAGTCATGAAGAACAGCGGGGCTGAGCCCCACCAGAGGTCAGAGAGTGAGGATGGGGCTGGACTGATGAAGACTGGACTGATCCTGAAGACCACAATCATTTGGTTATTGGCTTCTCCCCCATACTGAAGACCACCATCGTTGGGGTATTTGCTCCTCCCCCAACCTTAAGACCACCATCATTGGGGTATTGGCTCCTCCCCCAACCTGATCCTGAAGACCACCATCATTTGGTTATTAGCTCCTCCCCCATACTGAAGACCATCATCATTGTTGGGGTATTGGCTCCTCCCCCATCCTGAAGACTACCATCATTGTGGTATAGGCTCCTCCCTCATCCTGACCCTGAAGACCACCATCATTGGCGTATTGGCTCCTCCCCCATCCTGAAGACCACCATCATTGGGGTATTGGCCCTCCTCCAACATGAAGACCACCATCATTGGGGTATTGGCTAAATGGTTAGCACTTCCACCTGGCAGTACTCGGGTCGTTGGTTCAAATCCCAGCCACGGCACCACCTGCCTGGAGTTTGTATGTTCTCCCTGCGCCTGCGTGGGTTCCCTCCGGGTACTCCGGTTTCCTCCCAAAGGTTAATTGGATCCTGTCTAAATTGGCCCTAGTATGTGTACGTATGAATGTGAGTTAGGGACCTTAGATTGCAAGCCCCTTGAGGGTTAGGGACTGATGTGAATGTACAAATATATATATGTAAAGCGCTGCGTAAATTGACGGCGCTATATAAGCACCTGAAATAAATATTGGCTCCTCCCCCATCCTGAAGACCACCATCTTTGGGGTATTGGCTCCTCCCCCATTCTGAAGACCACCATCATTGGTTTATTGGCTCCTCCTCAATTCTGAAGACCACCATCATTGGGCTATTGGTTCCTCCCTCATTATCACTTTTTGGGTGGAGGATGTGATCACATTATTATCCCCAATTAACAGTCTGAGCTCCAATCATGAATGGATGGAGATAGTGGACCCTCTGTACAGTCTGTACGCTGGATGGCGGTGGGCTCCAGGAGTGCAGGCTACAGCTGGACTGGTACAAGGAAGCAGAGAAAGGAATCCAGGAAAGGAAAGGCAAGGAAAAGTGCGGTGCAAGGCAGGAAGGGCCTGGAATGCGGATAAGTGGCATCCACAGCGTGGGGTTCTAGGGATTAAGGGGTGACTGGAGTTCAGGAAACGCTCTACAGCAGTAGGAGGCCGAGCCGAGAGTGATCCCCACCAGGAAACACTGGAGGACACCAACCTTACTAGAGGACAATTTCACCCCGCCCCCGCCTTACTCTGGACCAATCAGTGAGCAGTATGGGTGGAGGAATGGATTTAGTGTTCATGACCCACCTGTGCTGATCTCTGTAGGAGTGTCCTCCTCTATAAATGTCCCCGTTATTCCATCCTCCTCCATAGACTGCTGATCATCCCTCACATATGCATCTTCTTCCTCTGATTTCACCTCAAATTCTATATCGATTGGATCTCCACTCTACATCAAGAGAAGGGTTGGAAAATATCAGATTTAAAGTGGTTGAACACCTGCAAAAAACACAAACTTCACAGAAAATCTAATAGACATGAGCACAAACCATGTTGTGTCTAGTATGGCTGGTAGAAGATAGAGACAGACAAGACAAGCTTTGGTGAAATGCCACGCCCACAGATTGGCAGACCTATGAGGGTACAACTGATTGAGGAGGCATTTTGGAGAGATACGCACAATGTGATTTAGGTTATAACAACATTATCTACTGAACTAAGCAAAAAAAAAATTGTGTTTTGGGAAATTGGGTTTTCAGCCACTTCAGTAATGCAAGACCACAGAGAGAACGTCATCATGAAGGATCCACACATTGTCTGGCATGGCTGAGTCACTTTCATGGCCTAGATCCTCCATCAAACCAACCTTGTAATAGCGTGCGTAGTTGTGGTCTTCCAATGTGGAATCCCGAGAATACAGAGGACATCTCTCTGGTGGGCTTGATGGCTTCATCATGATGTCCCTCATAGAGATCCTTGTGCTCTTCAGAAAGCTGCTTCATCACTCCATACTCCTCATCCTCCTCTTTTATCTCTTCTTTAACATCAATATTATCATCCCCAAGGATTCCACTCTGAATATATAATAAAACATTCATTGTAACAAACACCCTTGAGGAACAATCACTAAAAGCTATGATTTATACACATCTACCTGATGATGTTGTCTATATAGTTGTGATCTTCCTGTGTGGAATCCTGGGAATACAGAGGACGGGGATATCTCTCTGTGGGTTCCTATAGCTGGATGACTCCACCATGGTGTCCTGGTACAGATCTTTGTGTCCTGCTGGAATCTCTGACTCCTCCATCACCCCATCCTCATCATCCTCCTCTTTTATCACTTCTTTAACCTCAACTGTAGACTCTCTCAGGTTTCCACTCTGAATATATAATAAAAAATGACATCAATGGTAACAATGCAGATAATGTACAGATCCTAATGATACTATCAGTGATTGTACCTCATCTACCTGATGATGGTGAGGGATGGTGTGACCTTCCTGTGTGGAATCCCGGGAATACAGAGGACGGGGACATCTCTTTGGTGGGTTCCCATGACTGGATCCACCTACCTGATGATGGTGAGGGATGGTGTGACCTTCCTGTGTGGAATCCCGGGAATACAGAGGATGGGGACATCTCTCTGGTAGGTTCCCATGACAGGATCCATCTGTAGGAAACACACACACTGACTGAATCCATTGTTTCTATGTGTTTATCAGATGATGGGGATCTAGGTGGATCCTCCATACTGCTCTCTCCTTTCCAATAAAGTCTCCTCTTACCCGGTGATGTGAGGGGCGGCTGATTGTCCATCATGACGTCCTTGTAGAGGTCCTTGTGTCCTTCTAAATACTCCCACTCCTCCATGGAGAAATAGACAGTGACACCCTGACACCTTATAGGAACCTGACACACACAATGATACAGTCACCATCCAGACACATCCCTTGTCTGTTACTGGAGAATGTCCCAGAATTCCCGGCACCGCTCACCTCTCCTGTCAGCAGCTCCATCATCTTCTTGGTGACTTCTAGAATCTTCTGCATGTTGTGTCTCTCAGGGTTTAGGGAGTCACATGGAGGCACTGTGATGGTCATATGAGCACCTGACTTCAGAGGAGGAAATCTCTGTATTGGGGAACCAATAGGAATATCGTGTGACCTCCCAGAATCCTCCTCACCTCTCCGGTCAGGTCTGTGTTTTATTAATAGAGATGAGAGTGATGTCGTGTGACCTCCCCAGAATCCTCCTAACCTCTCTGGTCAGGTCTGTGCAATGTCATGTGACCTCCCAGAAACCTCCTCACCTCTCCGGTCAGGTCTATGTGATGTCATGTGACCTCCCAGAATCCTCCTCACCTCTCCGGTCAGGTCTGTGTGATGTCATGTAACCTTCCAGAATCCTCCTCACCTCTCCGGCCAGGTCTGTGTGATGTCATGTGACCTCCCAGAATCCTCCTCACCTCTCCGGTCAGGTCTGTGTGATGTCATGTGACCTCCCAGAATCCTCCTCACCTCTCCGGTCAGGTCTGTGTGATGTCATGTGACCTCCCAGAATCCTCCTCACCTCTCCGGTCAGGTCTATGTGATGTCATGTACCTCCCAGAATCCTCCTCACCTCTCTGGTCAGGTCTGTGTGATGTCATGTGACCTCCCAGAATCCTCCTCACCTCTCTCTGGTCAGTTCTGTGTTTTATTAATAGAGAGACGAGTGATGTCATGTGACCTCCCAGAATCCTCCTCACCTCTCCAGTCAGGTCTGTGTTTTATTAAGAGATGAGAGTAATGTCATGTGACCTCCCAGAATCCTCCTCACCTCTCCAAGCAGCAGGTAGATGATCTCCAGGGTGAGGTTTAGTATCCTCTCAGTCATGTGACTCCGGTCCTCCTCCATCCTCATTGGTCATGTGATCTATACAGGTTTCCTGTAGACCAATAATTGATAACAGAGAATGATCCGGACTGTACTGGTTGTACAATATTAGGATGGGGGGGAGGGGGGAATAATATGAGGGTCTCTATCATGGAAGAACGGCCCCCAGTGGGATTACACACAGAGGAACATTCAGTTTATGGTTTGCTGTGGTTTGTGATCCGGGAGTCAATATTCGTTTAGCTTGATGGGTCACAAAACCCTTTTTCTATGTAAGGTCCGTAGTTCTTGATCCACCAACAAAGAAAGCCAATAAATATTTTCTGTTTAAATCCCCCCATTAGTAATAGAAGTGGTATAATCCATTAGTATAGACTGAGGAGGTGAGAAGGTGATTGGTAGGAAAGGTGACATCTCCACAATGAGGAGAATGTTCTGGCCCCGGAAGTGGGGGAATGTTCTGCCCCTGAAGGGGTTAATCTGGGTTCCCACACTATATATGTGTGTATCATCATCTGCTGGAGATAAAAGACGTCACAGTGACTA